AGCAACCAAAATGCTGGCTTGCGTCCATAGATGCATCTCAAGCAAATCCCGGGACGTCATTCTCCCCATGTACTTGAACTTGGTGAGGCCGCAGCTGGAGTACTGCATCCAGTTTTGGGCTCCACAATTCAAAAAGGATGTGGAGAAGCTTGAGAAAGTCCAGAGAAGAGCCATGTGCATGTTCAGAGGTCAGGAAAACAGACCTTATGACAACAGGCTGAGAGCCATGGGGCTCTTTAGCCTGGAAAAGTGCAGGCTCAGGGGTGATCTGATGGCCACCTATAAGTTTATCAGGGGTGACCACCAGGATCTGGGGGAACGCTTGTTCACCAGAGCGCCCTAAGGGATGACGAGGTCACATGGTCATAAACTACTACAAGACCGTTTCAGGCTGGACATAAGGAAGAATTTCTCTACTTTCTGAGCCCCCAAGCTCTGGAACAGCCACCCATCAGAGGTGGAAGATCACTGAGTCCAGCCCTCTGCCCAAAGAGCAGGAAGTCAGTGTGACTTACTCTTATCAATTTGACTTACCAATTTCTCCATCTTGTTAGAAACTGAGATAACTTGTGACTTAACCCAGCCTGGTTTCACTTGCTGCCTGTGGGCACGCTTCTTGGATGGACGTGGGGTTTTGCTTGGGAACGTTAAAACTCCTCCCATTTTATCTCTGTTTTTAGCCTGTGGGGCACACGTTCTTCATGAGATGATACATGTTCCACCACTACATGGTATATCAAGACCTGTGATGACATTCACTAAAACTGATGAGGTTCTCCTGCTTGTTTAGATCTTCCTCCAGTACTTTGTACAGCTGACATCTCTCAGATATGTCTGTCTGTAAAAAAAAAAAAAAAAAAAAGTGTGTGATGAATGATGTTTGTTCCTCTGTTGCAGTAACAAGGAAAGCTGTTTGCAGTTATTTAACTTGGTCTAACAGCAAGTGTATTTGAAAAAAATATGTCAGTGCTCTCAATCTGCTGTGATCAGTCTAAACTACAACCACCTATAAGGGTCTAGGCTTTATTGTAGCAAAAAGTGTACAAGTCATAAGTTTGAGATTTAAGAGGAAGACAAGGCAGACAGTAATCTGTTTATGTTTCTTTAGAATAACAATTTAAATGTTTATGACGACCTTCTGCCCCAGTTTTTACAGTCGTATGGTGAAGTAAAAGAACATAAACTGTTAACTTTCTTGTTTGTACTGCATACCCAGATCATGGGTATCGGTATGGGAAGAAGAGCAGTCCTCATTGAGCCAAGAATTAACCTCAGCCTGACCTGTTCACTATTAAGGTGCTAAGTGCATGCCTTAGGAGGTGGCTGTGGAAATTATGGTATGTTAGGTATAAATATGCATTGAGGTACTATTTTCTAGGAGCAATGGGCAAATTGAAAGGCAAATATGTGATTCTCGGTGTCACTGCCTTCCAGTCTGCTTTAGGGATAGAACACTTACAAGTTGGAGGTAGATTGTGGCTTGAAGCATAGCCACAGTTGAGTCCCTAGAAAGAGTGATAAATTTCCTTCCCCAGTTCATGTTCCCCACCTTGGCAGCATTTATGAGCTGCCTGGTACCTTGAGGTACATAGAAAAACCATTTAAAGCTGTGTCCATGTCTGAATCATCGACTCTTTCTGAATCTCTCCAGATCAATTTGGAGGGTTCAAATTAGTTTCGGAGAGATTAAAGGGTCTTCTGATTCAATTTGGGTTCAGAGATTCGGCCGCCAAATTGGGCCAAGTCAAATCAGTGACCAAAACTTCACGCAGCCCTACTCCCCTGGTGCTGGCAGCTACAGTGTCCCAACCCAATCCAATCCTTGCAACCCACCCCCCACCCAACCCCATACAAATTAAATTTAAATATGTAAATCAGATTGTTTCTCTACCTGGTCCCCCAAAATTCTTTGAATTAGTTTGCCGGTCTCCAGTATAAAAAAAGTTGGGAGCCACTGAGCTAGAGGATCTTCCTTCTCTGCTGAAATTGCACTGATTTCCACATTTGGGATTGGAAAAGAATTCTATCCCACAGTCAGATTGTTGTGGAGTATGGGTGTGTTTTCCTGTTTCTGCAGCAGGGGCAGTGATTCTCTTCCTTGACTGTCTTGAGTATATTAACAATTAACTTCCTGTCCTTGCAGTGGCAGAACATTGACAGTGCCCTTGTCTCCCTGCCTTACTGTTGTCAAGTTAGGGTGTTCTTGGTGTATTGGGGTCACATGTCTGGTAGCTGTGCAAGAGAACCATTTGTGCAGTTTTAAGAATAGGCTAGACATACATAGAGGTGATCCTGCCTTGAGCAAGGGATTGGACTAAACGATCTTCCGAGGTCCTTTCCAACCCTACTTTTCTATGATTCTGTGAATTTGAATTTTGCTCTCTCTCCTCTATACTTAATCCTTTTGTAAGTATATTCTTTGTGCATATAGACATCAAATTAGGTTGGTTATTAAACTGCTTCCTTGCATATGTAGACTGCTATATTTCTTTCTAGCTATTTATCATTTTTGTATTCAGACAACAAATAAGTTTATTCAGTGTCTCTTCCTAAATTATTCTCTACTATTTTCACAATTTTATTCATCCATAATTAGATTCTTGTTTTCATCTGTTTTTCATAACACGCTTCTATAAATGAATTCAACTTTTGAATTCTAAGTGGTAACTAATATTTATATCATAGGGCACAGATGTAGTAATGAAGATAATGGTTTTGTATTGGTTTACAGTGTGCTCCCAAAGTGCATTCATCTAGTCCACATAGTGGTATAATATATGTATGAGGGTCATGTTTGTAATGAAACCTTAAAGTACCAGTAGATTTTATTTTCTGTCAGTGTAATATCAGAAGTCCCCTTTAGTAGAAAAAAAATGATCCTTTCAACTGCATATTTACCTAGTTAATGTTGTTCATACAGTACCTAAGTGAAATTCATTTTGTCTTGTTAGAGGTCCTGGAGAGTGCAAGTTCCCACACAGGTACACCAGCTGCACAGAGAGGTGAGTTTGCTTAATTTAGCCCTAAGCCACAACAGGGTGAGCAATCTTGGACCATTGATGCACACTTTGGGTGTTCCTTCTTCCATCCAGGAAGTGTTTACTAATTGCCTAGGAATGCATGCTCTGATGTGGCTTATTAATATTAGAATGTATTTTTAAGAAATTACAAAAGAAAGGTAGTAGCATTAACAACAGTCAAGTCTTTCTGTTTATCACAATATCTGCCAAAAAATAGTTTCTAGACAAAGTACTTTTGGCTGTTTAACCCTTTTTTTACTTTAATTTTAATTTGTATTCCTTTGGTGTTTTAGAGGGTAATAAGCTAATGATCAGTTACTAAAGGGCTCTTGGATACTTAGAAATTGTTCTTAAGACCAGTTTTGGGTCCTTGAAAAGGTCATAACCAAAACAGCCCTTCAGTTTGCATTGTAAAGATAGTTGCTTTTTGGCAGGAGGTGTGGGAACGGTGTTTAAAAAAAAATACTTTCTCATTTAAAAACTAACAGTTTGTTTCAGCTCATGACTCGTCCCTTAACCCAAAACTACTTTTCAGGTTAAAGTTATGGCATGTGATCAATAATGACATCCAAGAACTTTAGTTCATGATGTGAAGCTCCTTGTGAAAAAATTGGAATACAAATTAAGATTAAACTGTGCCAAAATAACTTTAAGGTAACAGAAGTAGTGACTTAACAGCAGATTTTTAAAATCTAGAATAAAGTGTTAATGATTTCATTTGTTTTTCCAGTGGTGAAAGCCAGTCGTTCACTTAGTTCACAGCTTGGTTCACATCACCAAAACCTAGTACACTGTTTTGGAAAATGAGTTTCCAAACCAATACTGAAACTTCCTTTAAACAGATGTGGAAAGGATGTTAATTTCTTTCTCAAACCCAAATAATTGCTTCATCAGAAGGAGCATTGAGATGAGCAAGAGACATCATCCATATTTTTTCTTTGTTATTTTTCTTTTGTTTTTCTGTCTGTGTTTTCAGCAACGTCAATTGATTACAGTTCCTTTGCAGACAGATGCAACAGCTGGATAGAGCTCATTAAACTGAAAGCTCAGACCATAAGGCGCGGATCAATTAAGACAAGTAGGCGGATGTTTCTACCACATTATGATAATCTGAGGCATATCTCTGATTTCCCAGTGGTGAAGGGTGGAGTTTCCTACCCAGCAGTGGAATTGCAGGTCAAATGTAGAGTAAATATCTGTGTGTGAAAGCTGCAGACATTTTTTGATGTCTGCTTAAAAACAAGTTAGGATAGGGATAGTGAATTAGGACATGAACATGTGAAATGCAATATTTCAAGTGTTTACATAGTAAAAAGTAGTTATCAATAAATATATAGCTATAAATAGGCATTTTATGTATAATATATACACATACACTCTGAGTGTAGGTGTATGCATAATAGATATTACTGGTGACAAACAGGCAGCAATTGTCCACCAAGGTGACAATCAAGGCAGTGGTCACTAAATTAGCAAATGGTGACTTAAGTAGTTCCCAGGCCACAGGTCTGATTGTTTTAATTAATATTAAGGCTTTCTGGAAGTTGACAATAACAAGGAATTTTCTAAATGGAAAATACTACACTGGGGAAACATGACATCTTTCACACTCTTGTAATAATTTATTCTTCCAGCAGATATTTATTTCAAAATGTTGGCACCTTTTTCCTTTCACCTTCACTTTACAACTGATCGTTGTATGTGCAGCTGCTATCCTCAGTGTTTTCTTTTGCAGGAATGCTACTCTTCCAAGTACTTTCCATTCCAGCTTTTTGTTTCTTTTTGCATGCATTGCATGATGATTTCCTTTCATGACATGGCTGAGCATCACAGGCAGCTGAATGTTGTCACCAAGCTATATGGAACCCATAAAGAAGAGTTGTGTTTTGTTATAAGAACAAATCATTGATCTTACTCAATAGTTACTTTCTTTTTCTTTTCTTTCTTTCCCTCTTTAGTTGCTTCACTTGACAAAGCAAGCCCGCTGGCTGAGGGACACTCGCGTCACCGTTCTGTTCCATGCTCTACCAATTCTACCGTCACAGTTGTTAAGATGACACCTCTTTCTTTCATACCTGGGGCAAAAATTACCAAATATCTTGGGATAATCAATATGTTTTTTATACGAGAAACCACTTCCTTACGTGAGGTGAGCAGCATATCAGGACTTTACACTTTTTTGTAAATTGAGAATAACAAAGCCAAATGAACTTCCATAACTTAATGTCTTTAGAGACCCACTTGTAGTTAACCACATGGCACAGGAAAAGAATTATTTTTTCAAAACTTGGCTCTTTGTTAAGTGGGTGGGAGTATTTGTTGCTCCTGTGTTCTGAAAATGCCGTTGTTGTTTTATCTCTGAAATTGTTAGAAAGTCTCTAGCCAGTGAGAAAATATTACATGATAAAAGAGCAGATATTTTTATAACTAATGGGGCCATTTGTTTTTTGATGGCTGTTTTGGATTTAGGACCAACACGACAACAGCCCCAGATAAAGTTAGAGTGAGCAGATGGAGAATGGCTCTTGAAAATCCTTTGAACTGCACAGTTGATATTGGTTCAGATGTCAAAAGCAGCTCACTGTTAATAGCTGTCCTGTGGAAGCTTTGACTTCGTTTGAGTCTTGCAAGCTATGAGATCCTCTGATTTGTAAATTTTAAAAGTTTTTACATGAAAACTGTCACTTAAAAAAAAGCCGATTCGACTATAGAAACTACAGTGTAGACGTTGCCTTAGTGTCTGTAGCTTCCGGAGAAATGAAGATAGCTTTAAACTTGGATGCCGCTAGCTGCACAAGTGTGGATCTCACTGGCTAAACAGCTGAGTAATTCTCTGGGCTCTTTGGGCACCTTTTGCAGATCGTGGTGGGATCTGTACTGCTGAAGTTACACTGCTGCTTCTGCTACACAAGCTGTATTTATAGTACATAACCATATTCTTAATCTGTCACTTTTGAAATTTGAATGTCCTCCATGCCACAGTTCCTCCTTCTGAATTCTTCACAATTTTTAAATTTCTGTTTTAAATTCAATCTAACACACTGCTGTCTGGTGTGCTGTAATAGAGTGGAAGAATTGCAACAATTGAAAATGTGTATGCCGAGATATATAGATGTAGATATGTACATATATGGAGAGAGAATCCTACACAAAAGCTCCTACCTTATGACATCTGCTTTTATGGACTCTCAAGTGCTCTTGAAACCTGTTAACAGTTTCAGAGGTGCTGTGAAATATAAAGCATTTCCAACATGTGGCAAAATAAGTAAATTGTTTGCAAAACATTTTTTTGCAAAAGCTCTAGGTGCCATATTGGATGCCATATTGTCTAATTTCTCCTGTTGCCACCTACATATTCATTGTTCTAAACTGTTCCTTTTTCTTTGCATCATTAGATTTTTAGTCTCAAATTGATCATTGCTCTGATCTTTTGCATCAGATTGAGTAATAACATTCATTTTGACTTTTGACAGGGCATAATCAATATGTAATACCAAACTGGTGTTTGTTGTTTGGCTTCTGGCTACAACTGGCTTTATGCATGGAAATATTGCAAAAAAATTGGTCTTTTCTCTCTTAACCATCATTTTAATATATGGTTCTGGTTCCTAACCTCTCTACTGACTTTCTGCATATGGGTTATAAAAATAGGTCCATACTTAGCATTCGTATTAAACAGTCTAGATATGAATGTTTTGCTCCCTACCAGATCTAGCTAAAATGGTGTAAAGCAGGGGCATCAAACATACAGCCCACAGAGATGGCCAGTAGGGCTCCTGGAGGGAGCAGGAGCTCAAGGATGAGGCCCACTGCCAAAATCCAGGGTATAGAGTCCGATTGAGGACGCATTTGGGCAATGGCAGGGCAGTTGATGGCTGCGTTAACCATTATGGCTCAAATGATGCTCACCCCATTGATGGAGGTGGGTCCAGATATGGCCCATAAGGATGCCTGCAATCTGGATCTGGGCTGGGGGAGGGCCAAGTAACTTTGATATTCCTGGTCTAGAAGATTCTGGAAAGGCATGCAGGAGTGTCTTAAGTGTGGGTATAATCAAGTAATAATTTAAAGAAATATAATTAGAGGTAAATATTCTCTTTTCATTCTCAGTTCATTCTCTTTCCTTTTTACTTTTGTAATGTGTTCTATTCATTTGGTTTTAAACAGAGGTTCTTTCATCTTTAAGATAAGTAATTCTTAGATTCGTGTTTAAGTTCAGTCTTTACTTCTGTCCTGAAGTGTAATTTTACAAGGCACTTTGTATGGGGAAGAAGAAACTCTCAAATATTTCTTAGGTAGAATGTTTAGAATTGAATAATATGAAAGATAAATGCAAGTAGGATATTCAGTGACACTTTTTATTGTGCAGTATTTATTTACTTTTCAGGAGGGCGGTGTCAGTGGCTTTCTTCATGCTTTCATCGCTGAAGTGTTTGCAATGGTGAGAGCTCATGTTGCAGCCTTGGGGGGGAATGCAGTTGTTTCATATATAATGAAGCAGTGTGTTTTTATGGAGAATCCAAACAAAAATCAGGTAAGATATGATCAAAAAGACAGTTCTTCTGGCTTAATTAATAATCATCAGCTGATCTCGCATAAAACCAGTCCTAACAGAAGGTGTCTATATCAGATTGTTGTTTTAATCAGTCCAGTTAAATCAGACGTAGACACAGAAGGAGGCATGTCTGTGTAGATTGCACATCAGATCCCATCGCACCTTTACCTGGACATCTGCAGAAATGTGGGCTAGAAAAAACTACTACAAGGTGGATAGATAACTGGCTCAGTAGCTGCAAGCAAAGGATAATTATTAACAGGCCCATGTCAGAATGTGAGGAGATTTTGAGTGGAATTCTACAGGTGCCCTTGGCCCAATGCTTTTCAACATATTTATTAATAATTTGGATGCTGGCATACAAAGGTTCCTGAGCAGATTTGCAGACAACATGAAACTGGGAAGGATTGCAAACCCACTGAAGGGTGCGAGTGCAATTCAGAAGCAGCTCAATAGATTGCAAATTTGGGCTAGAGCTAACAGGATGAAGTTCAGTTTGCTGTGGCTGTTGGTCCAGAGTTGCAATAAAGCTACTGATGATGGAAGTTGTGATAATAGATGGCATGTGATATAAAGAGGAATGATATCCAAATTTAACTGTAATTAAATTTGTTTGCTTCCATTTTATAGAATATTTACATGTAGTGTGGAAAAATAGAAGGCAAAGGCCTTGCTTTTGCAGTTTAGTGTATGAAGACATTTAGTAAAATGTAATTATTTGAGATTATTGTAACTAATTAATTCAGTTTTCCTGAAGGGCAAAAAGTTTTTGTAGTTATGAAACTGCATTGATAGAACAGGTATGAGAGAACAGTTAGAAATTACTAACTTGTTAATAATATTTCCATTACCTTATTTGGAGAGATGCAGTGCCATTCTTTACATATGCAAAATAAGTTTTATAGTGAAGTTTATATTTAAAATGTGTAGAGTAGTACAAGTGTGTTCTGTATATAAGTATTGAAATTATGTAAAGTTAATAAATAAATGACATTATTTGCAGATAAAGTTAGGTGTTCTCATATATCAAAATATTGTTCGTAAGAATGTTATTAATTGAATAGTACTATACCGATGCCATTTTAAAGAAACTAAGGACATGCTCATTTCTTGAAACATATGTATCATCATTTATTTTTACATGACTGGGGGGGATACTATCTACTGAAGGAAAAAAAACTACGTGAATTGTGAGGTATGACACTGTCACAGATCTAGGGGATATAAACTAACTCCACAAAAGTGGCAGGGGGGTTGTTTTTTAGGCTTAGAGTTAACATTTTGGAATGACACACAAGACATTTGGTATAGGAGTTTAATTGATTTTATTGATAGTTGACTGGCTTAAAATAGATCCCGTAATTAATAGACTTATTTTTTAATTGCATGTTTTGTAACAATATATTGTCTCATCTGTTTTTGCAGGCCCAATGTCTAGTGAATGTAAGTGGGGATGCTGTGATCTTTGTACGTGAATCTGAATTAGAAATGGTACCAGTGCAGTCATCTACTGTTATCTCTCAGTCCACAAGTGCTGGAGGAGATGTCACAACATGAAGCCAGAAAAAATTGAATGGCTCTGCTAAGTGTAAAATGATCTCTTCGAAGTGTGAGAATGGTTAGCTTTGCCTCTTCAAAATCAATAATTCTCCAAAGTATTAAGGGTAGCTAGATTTGAGACAATCACTTTGTCCACCTATTTTGTGATAGCCAGGGCAGTGTTTTTTTGGCAAGTACTTTCTAATTTTTTTAATTATTATTCCCTCTGAAATCTGAGCAGAAGATGAGGCATTGATCTGAAAGAATAGTTCAAGTAGTAGACATTCCAAAGAATTGATGAAGTAAGCAGAAACTTTACATTTTTTTTAATCTCACTCTTCAGCAGGGCTGGATCAAAATATAACTAACTCAGAACTGCATCTGGGACTGATGATGCTTTTTATGTTAGTTAACAGTTCATTAAAAGTAAAACTGGAAAGTAATCAAGAAACCTAAATTCAGCTACCTTTCTTGAATGAGCAAGAGATTCGTGAGCAGATTTAAAAAATATTATTGAATAAGTAGTAGTCTGAAGTAAGTGTGTATAATACTCCATCTAGCTGTTATAGGTCTGGAGAGGAAAAAAGCACCGGAAACAATATGTTCTGGATTTTAGTACGCTAAATGTTTTCCATCTATTTGAACTACTGAATGTTTTTTTTTATTGTACAACATATTTTTTTATTTAAAAATGATGGTTTTTGTTGCTGCATTGTAGCCAAAGTATGGTAAAAATAAATTATTATATCTGGTTCAGGTTTTATCATTTAATTTTAATATTAACATTTGTACAATGTTCTTTTTTTGTGTGTGGAAAGATTCCAGACATATGAAGTCTCCCAGCATCCAGTATCTCAAGGCATTATTTGCAATAATGTCATAGATGAACCTTCTCTTAGAGAGTATCCCCTATATGTGGAGTCGGTCGGGTTTTCTGTTTAACAAGTTGGAAATGTCTGGCTAAATTTGAGACAGGAAAGCTAAAAGTATTTTGAGACATTAATTTCTTCAAGTTGGTTTTCTTTTCCAGTAAGAACTGGGAGAGAATGGGTACCATAGGAAAAGGAAATCATCCATTTTCCACGAATCTCTTGTAGACTTTGATAAAGAACATAGATTTTTGGAGTTGAAGACAGATTCTTAGTAATATCTTTTGATCATCTTGAATATGGAACTTGAATAAATGTATAAACTTGAATGTAAATATTCTGTGTAGTTCTGAACTTTAAACAGTGGCATGACTGTATGTCAGACCTGAATATCCCATTGTAAATGAGAAATGAAAATCATTCCTCTGCACAATAAATTTCTGTATAAAATTACTTCCGCTTTTTGGTTGGAGTATTTTGGGGTATAATTAAGCATATATTTATAAAAGCTTTTCTTGGAGGGGAGTAGGATTTTGTTTGAAATATATGCTTATTGTTAAAGAGGAGCAGAGAGATCTCCAGCTAGAATGCTTCAATTGGGTATCCTTCAGAGAGAGATTACTCTTCAAACTTAAGTACGCTTTTCCTAAGTTATCACAAAAGCACTATCTGACTAAATGCATATATCCCCTGCCTCCATGCTGAGTCCACGGACATTGGTGTGAAGCATGCTCTGCCCACTCACTCCAGCTCCACGTACACCAAATTCCAGAAATGATACAGTGGAACTGTCTTGAAACACCATTGAACATGTGCCAGGAAACACGTGCAAGACAAAGAGCCTAGGAATGGAACTGGGCCAAGCACTTCATGCTGCTTCAAAACTACCATATATTCCAGCATTGGTCCAGTTGGAGCAGAAATGAGTTGTAGGGCAAGCTGCATGTCTACACACCTGGGGATGGCACAGGGACAATGTAGACATGCCTTTAATGTTTACTGTAAGGCAGTGGTGTCGAACGTGGCCCACAGGCCATATGCAGCCCAGAGAGCTAAATTATTTGGCCCACAGACTTTGGCCTCTTTGGCACGCAGAGAAGAGCAGTGGTGCTGGAGCCCCAGCAGCATGCAGCTTTTTCCTGCAGTGGCCGAATACCCAGGATGCCACACTTCTTCCTGCTGGGTCCCAAACTAGCCAGAAAAGGACTTACATGTGCTGGATCCAGCATGGGGGGAGGGTGATTTGTGGGCCCAATCCAGCCCAGGCCTCTACCATTTATCAGGCCCATGGACTGGTTCTGCACAACTCATCCAGCTCAAGGGGCCAGACCAGTTTTACAACCCTACTCTAGCAGCTGCAACAATGAGAAATTTCCTGGATGTTTTGCATGGTGAATCCTCCCATTGAAATTAATGGCAAAACACTTTATCATCTCGGAGGGATCTGGATTTAGCGCAATGCGAGTGTGGTTGTGTGTCCTATGTAATAAAGATACCCATGTACCATTAGCAAAATGAGAGGAAACAAGCCATTTGTACATAGGATAAAGCAAGGAATACCAACTCTGTTGAAATGCAAGCTATGCTACCTTCTCCCCTCTACCCCCCCTCAAAAAATTAACAGTGATACTTTTTATAGGGAATGTGGCAGATGGAAATATATATTTTTTAAATATCACACGTCTTCCCATAATGCACATTCCTGTTTCACAATTTACTGCACTTGTTTTCAAAGCCATGTGTCAGTACAAATAGACTTATTCACCTCCTGCCCTTCATCTATACAATATTTACAGGGAACTTTCATCAAATGGGACCACCCACCAAATATTTGTCCCTCTTTTTCCAGCATGGCAGAGCAGTACCAAACACTACTTCCGTCTGTGAAGGAACTTCTCAGGAGCTATATACAAGACGAGCTGTGTCAGAATGCTGCCAATCCCTTGTTCTTGATGGAGAATGGGGGCTCTAAGTCTAGACAGGTACTTGGATCCTGTTTCACATGTGCCAGTGTTCTAGAAGAGGTTTCTTTGCAGGGGTACATTTGTCATTTTACATGTTTGAAACCCAAGAAATTTGAACTAGGTCTGCCCATCACAGGGATTTAAAAGATGGATCAAATAGACCCCAGCCTTCTGGGTCCATCTACAGAGTAAGCTGTTGAAATAAGACAATGCAGCTAAACATTTTTTGTTAGGAATTCATTTATTCAGTCCAGTTTTGGCAACAGTTATCTGGGTGAAGTTGTAACAGGAGCATAACCAAGCGAATCTCCGAATCAAACAGGCCCCCATCCCCCACCTGTTCTCCCAGTCCTGTCAGTGGCAACCCTGCCCAATCCCAGCATCCCGGCTCTTTAAAAAAAAAAGCCCCACGCTCACCGGCTGCTGCAGCTCCTATCAGGGAACTCGTGGCAGAGCTTCACACAACGTGGTGCAGTGGGGGGCAGCAGAGATTGCCCCCCCCCCAC